ACCAACGAACAGAGATCTTTGAGTATAAGAACTTGCACTACAGATCCAATAGAAAACTTATGACAGATGCAGCAGAGATTCTCCAGAATGAAAAACTACATGACAGATTTTCAAAAATAAAAAACAACTCATCAACTTGCCAAACATCTTTGAGAATGGAGAGACCACACAACAGATTCATAAGAAAATCATAAAATTCCTGTAAAATCGTCTTTAAAGGTTCCTGAAAAATACTTTGAGTCATCCCAGCAATTTGAAACTTTCAGGATTTATGGATTAGAGTTTTCTCATGATACAAAGCAAATTGGAAGCTGATATGAAGCTCACAACTAAAATTGCGAATGTTTTTACTCACTAATAGCTGAGAAAATCATAAAATTCCTGTGAAATCGTCTTGAAGGTTCCTGAAAAATACTTTGAACCATCCCAGCAATTTGAAACTTTCAGGATTTATTAATTATATTTTTTTTATGATAGCAAACCAATTGGAAGTTGATATGAAACTCACAACTAAATTTGCGATTTTTTTTGCTCATTGATACCTGAGAAAATCATAAAATTTCTGTAATGTCTTTGAAGGTTCCTGAAAAATAATTTGAGTCATCCCAGCAATTTGAAACTTTCAGGATTCAATAACCAGAGTTGAAACTTTCAGGATTCAATAATCAGCAGTGGCGGCTCGTCAGAGGAGACAGGGGAGGCTAAACCTCCCCCAAAAAATTGAAAATTCAATCACAATTTTTCATTCTTGATTTCTAATTAAAATAATAATTCACAAATTACACAACAGAATTCCAATTTTCGATATTTCAATGTAATTTAGAAAAATCTGACAACATTATTTCAATCAATCCCGCGCCTCCACGACAAAAATCTGTGAATCTGGGATACTCAGTAATACCGGCCCAAAGGGCCGGAGTTATATGCGAGCCCGAAGGGCCGGAGTTATATGCGAGCCCGAAGGGCCGGAGTAATACGAGCCCGAAGGGCTAGAGTTATTTTAATCACGGAACTCAGTCTATAATTCTATTGGTCAGCGGATAATTTAGAGCCAATTAAAAACCGGGAGTATTTAAAATGCGATTTTTAGCGTCCGATCAAAGAGCCGGGAATATTCAAAAACTTTAGTTTTATCAAATTGATTTTGGAATGTTGGTTTTCTTAAGATTTTTACTTTTTTCAGAAAACGGTGGTTTTTGCAAACATACCTATACTACTTTATCATTGTCATTGTCTAACTCACTATAATCAATAAGTGAACCTTATAATGTCATTTTCATTGATTTATTAATTTCATTATTAATTAATTATTAAATTGAATTTTAAACAAAAAACGCTTTTAAAATGTTAACATACGATACGAGGCTTTGAGGTTTCTTCATTTTTTAGTAAAAATTTCTATATAGTTTTAAATACCATAATTAGCAAAATCCCATTTAAAATGCTTTTGATGTGGCAACATCGCTTGTGGCTAAATTCAATCAAAGAAGCCATTTTGACAGTCGGCCATTTTCAATTAACGTGTTTGACATTTTTATTCAGTTTTTCTTTGAATTTCCACTTTTCCGGAAAACTGATTTAAAGTACGAGGCTTTGAGTTTTCTTTATTTTCCACCAAAAATTTCCAGTGTTTTAACGGGGTAAGTGAGAAAAACTTTAGTTTTATCAAGTAGGTTTTGGAATGTCATTTTCGTTGGTTTCTTTTTTGGAATTTTTATTTAAGGTTTTTGGGGTCCGGGGATCGTTTTCTACCACTTTTTTTCTCGAAATTCGCAAAATAAAAAAAAAGCTTTTTTGACGTTGACAGCTGTCAATTTTTTTTTTGACACAAATCGATAGTTGGCGTCGTGAAACTGCCATGCACCGGGGTTTGATTTTCGTAGCTTTTCATGTGTCAAATTTGACAGGTGACATTTGTTGATATTGCCAAAGTGTCGTGCGACAAAAGTTTTATCCGAACGAACCCGTTCATTGTTAACTGATTTTAATACTCCGGCCCTTCGGGCCGTAATCTTTGAAACAAAAAGACGTCATTTTGTATCGATTGTCAAAAAACCCAAGGTTTGAAATTTCAATTTCTTGACGTTTTTTGTTTCATGAGCAGTGTTGCCATATGTTTTTTTTCGAATCTCGATTCTGGAAGGCTGAGGTTATCTCAATTATGAGCTCAAAGGGCCGAGGTTATACGAGTCCGAAGGGCCGGAATCATGCGAACCCGAAGGGCAGGAGTTATACGAGCCCGACAGGCCGGAGTTATTTTAAACATGAGCCCGAAGGTCCAAGTTTATACGAGCCCGAAGGGCCGGAGTTATACGAACCCGTTAATTGTTAACTGATTTTAATACTTCGGCACTTTGGATCGTAATCTTTGAAACAAAAAGACGCCATTTTATATCGACTTGCAAAAAAACCAAGGCCTACCTTGATATTTCAATTTTTTGACGTTTGTTGTTTCATGAGCAACGTTGCTATATGTTTCTATCAAATCTCGATTTATAGGTTATTTTAAACCTAATCATTGACATTTCTGAAAAATATTTTCTTTAAAATTCCCAAATATCCTTTGGAATCTCCAAAAATCTGTTAAAATTTCAGAATTCCATAATTTAGTGGAATTTCGGTAGAATAATTATGTTATTCTGAAAAAGGAATTGGATGAGAAATTTTTGTGGAGTTTCCATAGAATTCACATTAAATTTTAATTCCTCTCGAATTACTTGAAATTTCAGTGAAATTCCGATGGAATTACACGAAATCCTAAATGAATTACATGGAGGAATTTCAAACAATTACATGATATTACACCTAAATTCTCAACATGAAATTTCAGTTTTTACTGCCGAGGAATTTCCAGCTAAAAACATGGAATTTCGCTGATATTCCGAAAAATTACTATGAAATTTCAATATATTTCGATGAATTTTCAAGATATTACTTGAAACTTCATTAATATTCCCAGAAATTCCTGGCTATTAAAAGAGAATTTCAGTGAAATTCCGAAAAATTCCTATGAAAATAAATTAAATTTTGAAAATTCCTTGAAGTTTCATTGGATTTTCGAGAAATTTTCGGTCAAGTTATGAACGTGGATAATTTCATAAAATTTTAGTGAATTCCGAGAAATTTTTAAGTAATTACATGAAATGTCAATGAAATTCCATAGAATTTTATGAAAATTTTGTGGAATTCCAAATTTCAGTGATAAAATTTTGAGGAATTTTAGTAAAGTTAAAAAAAAATATGGAATTTTGAAATTGAAATCTTAGTGGAATTCCGAGAAATTTCATGAAATCCTATACTGTAATTCCGAAAAAAATTTGTCCAAGAAGTCCATAAAATCTTCTAATGAAATGTTAAGGTATTTATTTCTATGGAATAATTTAAAATTTTAATGGAATTCCAAAGAACTTTGATGAAATCTTCGAGAGGTTTTTCCTCCAATTAGTTTTCCAGGAAACCTTTGAAAGTGTGAGCCTCTTGGAAAATACACCAAGAGGCAAAACCACCTTGGAATTCTTTGTTAAAAACTTGGGGAATTTATAGGGAATTTGGAAGATTGTGTTCGATGTTGGACAAATTCCAAGGAATTCTCGTCGAATTACACCTACATGGAATATCTTGAAATCTTATTGTGGAATTCCAGTGAAATTATATCGAAACCGAAAAATTCCCTCGGAATTAAACAGAATTTTCGTAGGATTTCCATGGAACCACGAAAAATTTCGGCGGAATTCCGAAAACTTGAATTAAATTTTAGTGAAATTCTGAGTAATTTCTGTCGAAATTTCCATGAAATCTTCTACTGTAATTCCGAGGAATTTTTGTACAAGAATTTCATTGAATTTTTTGGCGGAATTCGGAAAAGTATTATGAAATCTTATGATAAAATTTCTAGGACTTTCTGTTTTTCTATTCAAATTTATCATTTGAATGGAATTTCGAGGATTTCCATAAAATCTTCTAGTGAAATTCTGAGGAATTTCTATGGAATTAACAAAAATTTTCGCAGAATTCCCATGGAATATTTATCGTTAAGGCTCCCCTAAATTAGATGGTAAATTTGTATACAAGTTGGTCAAAATCCCAGAAAAACTCGTAAGATCTACTCAAAATCACTGAAAATCTTTAAAATCTTTTAGCCTCCTCACTTGAAATAGTCACGAGCCGCCACTGATAATCAGAGTTTTATTGTGATACCAAACAAATTGGAAGTTGTTAGAGACCACACAACAGATTCATAAGAAATTTTTGGAAATAAGAAACACCAAGTAACAGAGATCTTTGAGTATAAGAACTTGCACAACAGATCCAATGGGAATTTTCATTCTTTGCGAATCAAGATCTTCATGACAGATGTAGCAGAGATTCTCCAGAATGAAAAACTATACGACAGATTCTCAAGACTGAGAAACAACTTATCAACTCAACAAACCTTTGTTGTACAATTATTGTAGAAAATAGTTATTATGAATCCTTGCCAAAATAAAAATACAAAAGCCGTCAAACATTCCAATGCAAATTTGTCGGGGCGGGAAATGTCCCGAGGTGCATCCTTTCCAGACCGACGATTATTCAGATTATTCGGTCTGAGAACTCGGAACAGCTGGCGGCGTCGGGCGGCAAGGGACCGCGTAGACATGACAGGAATATAATATTATTGATCCTCATAAATATTGCCCTCGACCGGATCCTGGATTCGGTATAGAGTGGCGCGGCTTTATGAATTCGCCTAGAGGGGAGGATGAGGAGGTGACAATAGTCTGTGCTTCATTAACAGGACAATGATCCTGAATAGGGATGAAACTATAGACTTTTTTTCTAAATGCAAAAATCTCCTTTAAAGAATATTCACCGACCTTGGCAATAAATTCATCATCATTATATTATAAAGCAAGCAAACCTGTAATTAGTAGAATAAACCGACAATAAAGCTCGTTCCGCTTGGATTATTATTAATGCAGATTGTACATGTTTGCAATGCAATTTAGAATAAAAATCACCTGAAATTCGAATTCCTTGAAAACGTCCAACGTGGAAATGTCAGCGTCTGCGGCTATCAGCTTCGGACAAACACCGAAATCCTGTTTTTCGTGAATTTGCCGCACCGAACCTGAGGGAAAGTCAGATTCAGCGACGTTGCGACGTTGATGCAACGCCTCTGGAGACAAAGCTGAATGATTTGTACGTTGAACATCTGATGTATAACTGAAAAAAAAAACCGTTTGGACTCAAAATTGCACCAGGCTTCAACCAAAAAGAATCTTTTGTATATTGAAGAATTATTTAATAGACACATTTTATCTCACCTGGTATAATAGACACACAAAAGTACAGTAGCGGCTATAGCTGTGATAGCGAATCCCTTCGGACTGGGCCGGCGACATATTCGATTCCGGTTCAAAACTGTCATCGTGAATTAGGGCTTCATTTCGTTCTATTGTCAATTATTCCGGACGTCGGCCGATAATCCATTATAGCAATCTGAAACAAATAATTGTCGTTTAATTAAGTTTAATAATCGCAAATGCAATTAACGACTTAATAGGTACAAAACGTTGCTAGTTGGAATTGAATTGACGTGGGATTGTGTATGAAGATGGGAGCTTGAATGACGTGGTAATAAGAAAAATCATGTCTCAATGAGTAGGTAACTTTAATATTCTTAATTGAGGTCCTATCGCCTCTCAACCTCACCCTGGAAGTATCAAGTCTAACCTGAACCTCTCATGGATTTAATTAGTACCTACATATTAACGCGATTTTTTCTCGGAACCTATAAGTCCAAATGAGCTAAAATTCCCAGAAATTGTAGTCCGCCACTGGGATAAGAATTGCTGAAAATTTCAGCTCTCTATCACTAATAGAAAGAAAGTTATGACCTTTCAAAGTTTTCCAAAGTCTTAATCATAAATTTAGTCATTACTAAAACGATAAAATTTCAATTTTTTTTTTGTTGTTGAGATTTTGTGTCCTAATGGTCCTTCGGAATCCCCCGAACTCCATACACTGAATTATTCCGAGATTTGGAGTCGGATTCTATGAAAAAAGGCATTTAGAAAATTTTGCACAGAAAAAGAGTGCCCTCGATAACACAGAAAAAAGTGAAGCAGTGCCCTAGTTTGGACATGAAAAGACTGCCCTCGATTGCAAAAGCTCCCTTTTCCCTTTGGTTCCCTAGTTTGTACCCCAAAACGTGTTGAGCAGATACATAGAAAGCCAACCTCCTCGTGAAAACGCTTGTTAGTAAATAAAAATTAGCTTCACTACAAAACCACCAGGCCTCCTCACTGAAAACAGTTTTAAGTGTTGGAAACTCTATAAACAAAAGTTTGAAATTTTTTTGAAAGCCTCTCGAAAAAATAATGAACCAGAAGATATTAAAATTGCTATTTTGCTAAGTGATATTGGGGATTATGGTCTGGATTTATTTAATACGTTTACAACTGACCAGCAAAGCACTCTTAATAAACTATTGGAGGCCTATGATGCTCACTTTCAGCCAAAATGTTGCATCCCTATGGAAGCATTTAGGTTCAATAACTTGCATCAAAAAGAGGATCAAACCATTGAAAGTTTTGTAACTGAGCTGAGAAATCTGGCAAAAAGTTGCGATTTTCTATGCAAAAATCAAAATTGCAACGAACCTTACTCAGAACGAATGGTGGGAGACAGATTGGTTGTTGGCCTATGTGATAAACAATTACAAGCCAGATTGATCCGGGAGCCAGACCTAAACACTGAAAAGATCCTGGACTATTGCAAGTCACTGGCTCTCAGCAAGGAACACCTTAAAACGCTTAGCCCTGAGGAAGAAGTTAATTTAATCCAAAAAAATTATAGAAAAATTAAATGCGCTAAATGTCTCTATGAACATTTTCCAAACCAATGTCCAGCATTTCGTAAGACATGTGCTGCATGCCAGGAAATTGGCAATTTTGCAAAAGCATGCAAAGCTTTGAAAGGTGAAGAAGATCCTCACAATTTTGTTGAAAAAAGTGGTTATACAATGAAGAAAAAGCTCGAGAAAAAGGTACGAGAAGTCAAATATGAAGAAGCATCTGACTCTGATGGCGAGGATATCCAAGATGACGTGTTATTTATAAATGAATGCTGTACTAAAAATGGAAAACGAGCATGGTCTGAGGTATTTTGTGTCGAAGATACAGAGGTAAAATTTAAAGAATTTGTTGTTTATTTTTTGATTTGTTACGTACTTACTACATTTAGGTAGGAATACAGTTCTACGTGTTTTTTTATTTTTCAATGTATTCTGTAGAGACATAACATTGTGATTCTATTTCTATATATATTTATAGGTACCTATGCAAACATTTTTATTCGATATTTGATTTCTAAAACAAAAATAAAAGCTCATTTTTCAATTATATTTTGTTTTTATTAGCCTCTGGCACAAAAACAGGGGTTTTATCTTGAATTTTACAATTTTTGCATTTTCCATTCTTCAAGTCCGGTTTCTTCATTTTTGGTTTAAGACTGGCTATTTTTATTCTTCGATAAACTTGATCTCTGGCAAAAAAATATGTTCTTAATGTCCCATATCAAGTTTAACCAAAGAATAAAACTATCCATATATTAACCAAGTAGGAATGGAGAAGTTGGATAGAACTATTACATGTTTATCTGTAAATTTATGTGAAATAAATCCATATTTTCACATGGAATACTAGGTAAGTTACCAACAAGGACAGGTATCTTTTACATCAAATTCCAAGTAAAAACTACAGTGCAAAATATAAAACTACATAATTAACATGGAAATTTTACAACTCTTTAACGTGTTTTTACTGTAAAGTCAATTTCTTTAAATGGCAGCAAGTACATTTCCATGATTTTAGTATATCAGCTACGTAAAATTACTTAGTAGTCCAACAAACAGATACATAGACAACAATGTAAAAGTACAGAAGTATTCTAGCTATGTATATTACATTTCCTTTTCTGGTAATATTTTACTTGTACATCCAAGGCATTATATTACCAATGAAGGTTATGATAATTTTACACAAACTCTTTTTACTGTGTGGTGCAATAGTGCCCTAATTTGAGCCTAATTAGCTTAACTGAATTTTGAAAGTTGTGAAACACTAGGTACTTTATATTGAAATCTTCAACTCTATTATTAGCGGTTCTATCATCTTGAATTTCTAGTACCTATGTTTTACCTCAAGCCTTCAAGAATAGATCCTCAAAATTCCATTTTTGCGTCTTTAGTATATAGTTTTTGAGTTGAAAATTCCAAAATAGGCTTGTCAATGTTTATTTTTGCCCAATTCAGAAAATTCATAACTTTATTATTAGCGGTGCGATCACATTGAATTTTTAGTATGTATTACCTCAAACCTCGAAGAACAAATTCTCAAAATTTCATTTTTGCAGCTCCTGTGGTTTTTGAGTTAAAAATTTCAAAATAGATGTTTGTCAATGTTTTATTTTTACCTAATTTAGAAAAGGACCCCGCAGAAACCTTATGAGAACTGGCCCTCAGTGGAATCTCATGAAATTTTGATAGTTCTTGAACTATAGATTAAGTGTCCATGGGCACAAAGTTCTAAAAATTCGCCTTTTTGAGTTACAGTCGTTTGAAGTTGCGTCGTCGTTTTTTCTGTTACTTGTTACTTCGTGAATTTTAGAACATCATAGTATCGTAGTATAATACGTTTCAAATTATACGATTCCAAACATAGCCACTTTATAAAATAATAGTTATTTATACACCAAGTAAGTTAAATGAATGTTTACCCATGAGAAGAAAGTTTAACTTACGAGCCCTAGCGCATGGGTTGATTTTTTTCGAATGGTGCATACAATGCTTTATTTTCAACTGAATATGTTCCTTCATCAAATTAGTATCAAACATGTACAGGGCAGTGATGCCAACCTAGGGAATTTATCCCTAGATCCAGGGATTTTAACACTTATTAGGGATTGAGGGGAGATTTTCCAGAAACCAGGCCAAACTAGGGATATTTTTTTGTTAGCTTTCTGCTGTGGTATTACTGGTATCTACTGTTCAATTAGATTTATTACATTCTTTTTTACGCCGGTTGATGCATTGATGAGCAGTCTATCTTTGTCTAGTTCATGGAAAATCGAAATGAATCTCTCATAAGTCATAATGGTGGATAATTCGTTGAAACAACAACGTGAAAACATCAAAGAAAACAAATTAGTTGATTGTCAATAGTGTCATTCCTATTCATCCTGCCAATATTTTTAATTTTCCCATTTTTTATGACAACATTGAAATTCAGGAGTCATCAAATTAAATTGCGATCATGTTTAGCCACGCAGGCTACGTGAATGGGCCATATTAAAAGAAGGGGAAAACCGGGGAGGAATTTATGAGCCATATTTGCCTGATCTAGGGATATTTTACTTTGGAGTAGGGATTTTTCACATCAGTGAGTTGGCATCACTGGTACAGGGTTATTGGTTATAAATGTCACCCCCCTCTATCTTTTTTATTTGACTTTTTAGAAAAAAGTGTCCCAAATAAAAAATTTATGGTTGAAATTAAATTTTTTGAAAAACTCACTTTTGCATATACAGGGTGTTTCAAAATAGCTGGTCGTGCTTCAACTTTCTTATTGCAAATTGAATACCCTGTATATTATTCAATATTCGGATTTTACGTCAAATTCTGAGCAGATTTCTTTTTTCTAAGATTTTCACAAGTTATCATTTGACACCAACTTTGAATTTAACCGAAGATTAAATTTAATTCGAATTTTCAATCAGGGATTAAATTCAAAGTTGATGTCAAATATTGGTGTCAACTGATAGTTTATAAAAATCTAAGATAAAAATGTAAGATCGGTTAAGCTATAAAATTAACCGTTTAGGATTTACAGCCTGTCAAAGTTTCAAAAAAAGTCAATTTTCAATTTTCAAAACAGTTGAACTTAGGTATAGGGTATATCACATGAAATCTGCTCAGAATTTTACGTAGAAGCCGAATATCCAATAATATACAGGGTATTCTATTTGAAATAAGAAATTTGGAGCACGACCAGCTTTTCTGAAACACCCTGTATATGCGAAAGTGAGTTTTTCAAAAAATTTAATTTCAACAATAAAACTTTTATTTGGGACACTTTTTTCTAAAATGTCAAATAAAAAAGATAGAGGGGGGTGGCATTTATAACCAATAACCCTGTACCTTTACTACCTGTACTCACCTCATTATTTACCCATAATTATTTTTAAACCCCTCTTAGGACGTCTATGGTTTAAAAGTCGCCATTTCTCGAATCGAATAATTTGAAACGTATTATACTATGCATATGTCGTTCAGGGGCGCATATACGGGGGGGTAATGGGGGTAATTACCTCCCCAGAAAACTAGAAAATTTTCAACCAACCTAAATTTTTAGTTTTTCTACTGAAAATATAGGAATTATATTGCGAAAACTATTAAAATACTGCTAACATGGCAGCAGCCTTAGAGCAGGTAAAGGTAA